GAACTTGTTTTACATTGTTGGCACACTTCACACGCCATAACAAAATCTTGGAAACACAGCAATCATACCGGGCCAATAAAATGTTGGTTGCCAAACGACGGTAAGTGCGATAGTACCCTGAATGTCCACCCGAAGTGGATTGATGAAACTCATTCAACAACATGGGAATGAACTTTGAGTTACAAGGGATCACCAAAAGGTCTTTGTAGTATAGAACGCTATGACAAACGGAAAAACCCGGATGTCGCGAGTGGTCAGTCTCACACTCCACCAACAATTCTGAATTCCCGTGTCCGCACGGATTTCGTCCAAAAGCTGCGATCCTTGTAACCAAATTGGTGTCGACACCACAGTATTAAGTTCCCAATCAGCGGCTTTTCGCAATAAAGCATCCGCCGCTCGATTTTCGCGGCCCGACTTACAACAAATGTTAAAATTGTACCTCAATAACTTGGCCACCCAATTTTGTTGATCCGGTGTCGTAATTCTTTGTTGTAAAAGATATTTAAGGCTCTTTTGATCTGTGTAGATCACGAATCGTGTTCCCAACAAATATGATCGCCAATGTTGAACTAATACCAACGCCATTATTTCTCTTTCATATGCCGATTTCGCCAAATTTAGATCGTTAAGAGCCTTGTTGAAATAAGCCAACGGCCTGTTTTGTTGCATTAAGACGGCTCCTATTCTGCTTCCAGATGCATCACACTCAACCACAAATGGTAATTGGAAGTCCGGCAGAGCCAACAGAGGTGCAGTCACCATTGCTTCCTTTAAAGAAACAAAAGCCTGTTGCGCTTCATCACTCCATCCAAATGCATCCTTCTTTGTCAAATCTGTGAGTGGCCTCGCAATACTTCCGTAGTGCCTTATGAATTTCCGATAATAGCTGGTGAGACCCAAGAATCCCCGTAACCCTTTAATGTCTTGGGACCGGCCAATCCAAAACCACTTCGATTTTTTTAGGATCCATAGCTACAACTTAGCCATTAATGATGTGGCCCAAGTATTCTACCGAAGTTTGGCCAAATGAACATTTCTTTCGATTGGCCACAAAATGGTTTTCCCATAAGATTTTCAAGGCAATTTCTAAATCCACCATATGTTGACTCCACGAGGGACTGTAAATGAGTATGTCATAAAAAAAACCACTATCATTTTTTGTAATAATGGTCTAAAGACTTTGTTCATAACCGCTTGAAAGGTTGTCGGGACATTTGAGAGCCCAAAGGGCATCACAAGATATTCATAGTGGCCGTCATGCGTTCGGAAGGCCGTCTTCTCAATACTTGTCGGCTCCATTCGGATTTGATTGTAGCCGGATTCCAAATCCAATTTGGAAAAGAATTAGACTCCCTTAAGCTCATCAATTAGTTCCTCAACCGCTGGTATTGGGAATTTATCCGAAATAGTCGCCTTGTTAAGGGTTCTATAATCAAGACACGTATCCAAGAGTTATCCTTCTTGCAGACAAGGATGACGGGACTCGAAAAAGAATTCTTACTCGGCCAAATCATTCCCAATTTTAATAGCTCTTAAACTTGTCTTTTGATCTCAGATTTCTAAATATGGGGACATCTATAAGGTCACATATAGGTTCGTGTGGGGAAACCAAGGAAATGGAATGATCGTGTGGCCGTGAAGGAGGCAGCCCCGACGGTTCACGAAATACTTCACTAAATCGTTCAATTAAGACGTATAATTGTCGGTGTTGTATTGAAGTAAACTCTTCTTTGACAGGGGCTATAGTTGAACATGATGCAGCCTTCAGGGTCGGTAAGGGCAACCACGATTGCAAGGAAGCTTAGGAACGTTCCGACCTAGTCAATCCTTGGAGAAGAACCGCAACGCGTTGAAAAACAAACCTCATCAACGATCTTTCTCAATTATGGATCACATCCCCCAAGGTTTTTAACTATTCTACGCCGAGAACCAAATCCAAATGCCCCATGTCAAAAACCAAGGCTGCTATTACAAACTCACACGGTCCCACTCTAATTTTCAGTAGTGGGCATCGCAGATTGACATGAATTCGATGGCCATCCCCCACCTGAATATTGGTTCTGGCAAAAAACTCCACGGACAGTCCAAGAGACTTTACTAACTTTCGAGAGATGAAGTTGTAGGTAGCCCCACTATCAACCAAAATGAGTATTGGAATATCCGCTATGGCGCCCTCGATTTAAGGGTTACCCCCTGAAGCATACTCAACCGAAGCCCCGAGAAATTCAAGTGCCAAACACAAACTTGCGAAATTTGCACCCTCGGGTGGGGATGCCAAATTTACGTCAGCTTCGAGGTTGGTAATCAACCCATCCTCGTCGCCTGAATCATCATCGCTCTACAACAAGACGCAAAGCTGACCCTCGGGAACTTATGCGCTCGCCCAAACATCGAAAACACAACCCCTTCTTCTTACGATCCTCCCACTCTGTTCGTGTGAGAGATTTGAAGCCCCGATTTCAATTAAACAACTGATCAAACTCGGTCGAAGTCGTACCCTGAGTACGCGGAAGAGAAGAGGAGCAATTGCTCTCCGATCGCCCCATAGCAGGGTTTTTGTTGGACGAGGCAAACAAATTGGGCCTGATTTGGTCCAAAAGACCCCCTAAATTGGGCCTAATTTCTTTTGAGAATCCAGTCCTAGACCCATGTTGATAACGAAATCGGGATAGAGATAGATTCGTCAACGAAGGATGAAGCATTCCTTCGATATCCTTTGCTAGATACATAGCATCTAATCGTAATTGAGGACGATGTAATCGAACCCAACGCTTGACCTCATCCTTCAATCCAGCAATAAAATACCCTAACGACTGTGATTCCGGTAGTTTGGGAACCAACGATAACAAATACTCAAAGTCATCGATATAATCATAACCTGATGCCCCTTGTTTGATCGTTGATAATTGTTTATATGGATTCTGAATTTCCAAACCACTAAAACGTTGGAGCAACTCAGCGTGAAATTGTTCCCACGAAATCGAATCATAAATCTGATTAACGATCGTGAACCAGTGTTAGGCTACACCGGTCATACTTAATAGTGCCAATCGAATACGTAAGTTAGGAGGAGTACCATTAATTTCGAAGTAGAGGTTAGCTTTTTGAATCCACCCCTGAGGATCGAATCCGCAGAACTCCGGTAATTTGATCTTCTTCACAGCCCAACGTAGTCCATCCTGGGATCCTCCTCCAAATCTTGATTGTATGGTGTTCCCCTTCGTGAAACTCACGAAATCCATACCATTCAGGGTGAAAGGTGGAGAGGTGAAATCCATACCAGTGTCCAAAATCGGTTTTTTCTCCTGTTGCTTCACCCAGCCCAGCATAACTTTAAGGAATTCCGCCGATTCAATACGTTCAGAATCCATTGTTGCCTTGATTTCGAGGATATCAGACTGAAGTTTAGTGATATGCTCGTTGTGTTGATCCAAAAGAGCAGTTTGAGAACGTGTTTCTATTGTGGGTTGAACCATGATGAAAGAAGCGGCAGGTCGTGGCAGGTCGGATCAATGATAGAGATGAGGTAATAGAATTGAAACAATTTAACTGATAGAGAAATGGACGAAGGAAGGTTTGATTGAATTTGCAAAAAAGAAAAGAAAACAGCCACTAGTAATCCAAGGAAAATCCCTCTCTCTAAGCTACCAAGCTAAGAGCCAATCAAATAAGATAATTCTCCGTACCCCCATGCACTTACTCCACACTCCCTTTATTCTCTTCTCGTTCCTCTAACAAAAATATTAGCCACTTTCCTGATTTACCCTTTTGGCCCTTCTGGAGTAGTCTTCAAGCACTCTTGGGCTTGGGACATGTTGGGCTAAAATATTAGGATTCTCATCAACCACATTGGACCTAGTTCATCTAGGAAGGCCCAACACATAACTTTGAACCATCTACTAACCCCAATGGGTGATCTAATGGGTAGAAAATCCATCCTTGTATATTAACCCTTGCCGTTTTAACTTCATTTAATGAAGACTGATGCTAATGTATTAGATTGACTTGCTGCAGCATTTCATTTCAATATTTAAAAGTTGGCGACAAGAACTGTTAAAAGAATCACAAATACTCAATATACATGTATGTCTTTACTTTAGTTTCCTCTCCCTGCATTTGCTCTCAAAACATATATCCAAATAAGACTTGCTCATAGCGTGCATACCAAACTGTTTCATGATTTGCCACATGAAATTTTCATCATATTTTGCATTTCCCGATAACAAATTACGAGATGGATAGAAGGAACCATTTTTTATTATTGCCTACATCACATGCACTAAATTATCTCAAAGTCGGTAAAACACCATAAAACAAAGGGAACATTAACATATCAACTTTGGATGAGAGCTTCTGAGGAAGAGTGGATACGTAATCAGCTAATAATACTGAAATAGATTGCTTCGCCTAGGCCTAAAAATCACAAACACCATTCAGAGTGTTATGCCCTACAGCAGGTCTGGCCTAGGAGTTCAAACTCTTTGATGCCTTCATACTTGAAGTTTCGATAATCACTGAATGGGTAGAAAAAGAAACCGTGAAGTTATCTCAGGCACAGACATTTAAAATCTCTATGTTAATCAAAAAAAACTTAGGAAGCAAATGATCCCCTACTATGGAACCTTTTGTTTAAAATTTTCTACAAAGGCTAGTTAGATGATCAAGTAACAGTAGTTTTGTTTCTGCCTGATGATTATATCTCAGTGGTAGTAATGCCTGCTTAATACAGCTTGATCGGCAAAGCATCAACTAAAGAAGGGAGCCTGTCAAAAGGCATTGAGAAGCATGGTGACGCATCTGTGAACAAGTCTCTTTGTCATGGCCCATACTCAAGTTGATAAAAGTTCATTTAATTTTTACGGTGCAACAAGCAGCTTTGCTCAAGCCAGTGCCTCCAATGACCTCCCAAGAGCATTGAAAACTTTGTATACTGATTTCTTGAGCAGAATAGAAAATTGCCAACTTAAGAAAATGACGGTAAGTCAAAAGATACGTACTTGCTCACAAAGGATTCCAGCATCGCCTTTCGATCAGCACTAGTTACCTTCTTTTTAATTGGTCTCTTAGAAGTAAAGGGAGCAACAGAAGACCTTCCAGACTGCTGAACATTTGACCCAGGCACCAGATTGGATATCTCAGTAACAACTGGCACGTGTCCACATTCAATCATCACAATTTTTAAGTAGAACGAGGAAAAACAATGATTGTTTCACAAAATAATGATGCATGCATTATGCAATGCTATCAAGGGTGTAAATCAGGTAGCAAGCAGAGATTAATGTACAAAACAATTATGGCTTCAAAACCAACGAATTCTAAGACAGTATCCAGGAACCTTGGGAGAATTTATATGAGAATAAAAGCTTCTAAATGAGAACTCGTTTGACATATAAACATATAGTAATGCATGCCCTTGTCAAATAGCATCAAGAAAACAGCAAGATGACATGCAGCAAATCTCGAAGAAGGTAAAAGTATTGGTGAAAACTTAATCAATAGATGAAAAAATGGTGGAAAACAAGAAATTATAGCATGCAACTAAATAAAGATCCCTTAAGTAACACTTCACACCTCCATGGCATACAACACTTCACACCTTCCATGGCATATAACACTTCACACCTTACACGACATACATGGTGTTTCACAGTTCCAATTTGCCAAATCTTTTATATGCCATCTATGAGTCACCTTCTACCACACAGTAATAACTATTTCTACAGCTGAATTTCACATAGAATGTATCTAGTTACCGACATGTCAACTATCATAGGCATCACAAAAACTTCCATGAGGATGATATTCTATGGTAGGATAGGAGTCACAAAGAAAGCTTGAAGACTTAGAGGCATGTTAAGGAATGTTGTTCTCAAGTTTAATGCTTTATATGTCCCCTAATACAAATTTGTATTATCGTGCATTATGGACAAATAATACTCCAAGGATACAACTAAGTTACCATATGAATTTGTGTTAAGTACTAACACAAAACTCACTTTTTTGACAACTGAAACAAACATGAGCAGTGAAGAGAGAAGATCATTACTCATAAAATCATTGCATTTGAAATGAAAACTGAAATCAAGTAAATAGTGTTAGTTGTGACTTGCTATAAAGGTGACGACTTTTCAATTCTAAGAGCAGTTTTAAGGGTGAGTTTCTAGACACTCTACCTTTTAAATACTAATAATACCTGTTGGAGAACACTTGAAAGTAGGTACCAGTTGTGTATTCGAAATTCACAGCCAGAAATTGCTCTTTCAGACCCATCAAATAATTAACATTTAGATCTGTTTTAGCCACTGGACCAGGCTAGCATATACATACCCCATTCCTTGTGTATATACGTGTTTGTATGTGTGTACAAGATATATATATATATATATAGCATATACATACCCCATTCCTTGTGTATATACGTGTTTGTATGTGTGTACAAGATATATATATATATATATATATGACTTTCTGTTTAAGAACCCAAGTACGCTGGAACACAATCTGTCCACTGTGTATATAAATGGCAGTCGTTAATTGACAAGCCCTTTACAGTGTACTTATCCGCAAGGTCTTAAAGTACGGAAACCTCGAGGCAGTCCGAGGTGCAACTCTCGAGGCGGAAAATATAAAAAATTGAAAATAATATATATATATATATATATATATACACACTAATTAATATGTATATATACATGGAAAATAAATAAAAGTGAATATAACACTAAATAATATATATACACAATACACCAGACACGATGCAGAAAACAATACACACAAAGTACATAAATATTACATATACATACACTTTTACTGGTTACAAGAAGAATATAGAAAGTGAGACAGTGGAAAACTCCAATAAGTAATAAAATGTAGGAAGTGGGACGGTGGGTGACTCCAATAAATAAGAATATAGACAAAGAGGGATGGTGGGAGACTTGGTTTGCACAAATCAGTGCAGTCAACAGGAGCGTCCGCCTCACTACTGTCTCACCACCCCGAAGCTTTGTCCCACCTCAATCAACCAAGGCAACCTACCCCAACCTGGAGAAGTGACATCTCATATACAGTTTTGGGCCCCCTAGCCTTGAGGCACGCCTCTCACACTTCTTAAAACCATGCTTATACGCTGGCTTTGGCGCATGCCAGCATATTAGTATGCAGTAAACCTAAAGTCAACTTTTTGCAATTTTTGGTGTTCTCTTTATACAGATAAACCAGAATTGTTTTCCACACAGAACCTCAGTTCTTTAAGATACATGTGGAAATGCACAACTCAGGTCTGAAATCATCTTAAAACAATACCTTGTTAAGTGATTCCTACTTGAAACATTTGGTTTCCACTAATACTCTTAGCTTCTTTCATGATATACAATCACTTGAAGAGCTATTTAGAACATTCACTTCGGTGAAGAAAAAAGTTGTGTGAAGATATGGCAAGCAAATAAAGTTTGCTTTCGCGCCGAAGCCTACACATGATTGATTGAAGAAAGCAAGATATATCGACGGAATATCGACTTAAAACCATATAAGTGAAAGTCTATAGCAAAAATCAAATGCAATAGTGCATGTATGCAATCTAAAATAAATGAATACTAAAAAAGGTGTATCTATTATTAATCAGAGAAATCCTTTCATATATGGCGCATCATGAGCCAGTACACAAATAGATAAACATAATTAAAGGATAAGACATAAACATGAAGAAACGAACAAGGGATAAACTAAATCGGAGAATCCCTTCATATGTGGCACATCATGAGCAAATAGATAACATGAAGAAAAGGATAAAGGACTCGATCAAAATCCAACAGATGGATTGCCTATTCTCTCCTCAAGTTCGAACATATATGTCAAACATGCACACCTTATGACATATAAAACTAACTTGGCATCCTCCGATTGCTTTGTGAAGCCTGAGTGAGCCCAAAGGAGCCATAGATGAGCCTCATTAGATGTAGCAACCACCTTCTCATGAAAAAAGTGGCAGTCAACATCAATATGGTTTCTGCATTATGTTATCACTATACATTTCCTTAAAACAATTAAAGAAATTTCTGACTCATGTGTCAACTCCATGTCTTATACTCAAACTCAGCATTAGGGGAAACCACATCCTATGTCCTACTATTTCCACAAGATAAGATTTCTGCCAATGCCAACACTATACCTTACAATGGACCTCCTATAATATGGACATCATGCATGGCTACAATCAAAATATCCAATAACCCATATATGTACTTCACTATTATAGAGAAGACCTTTCCAAAAGCACCCTTGGGATACCTTAGAACATTTAACAATTAACACAACATTCAAGTGAGGTGTGCAAGAGGAATACATGAATTGACTAACCACGCTCACTAAACATGCAATATCCTATTATGTGACTATCAGATAGTTCACCTTTCCTAGCAATCTTCTCTAGATAACTCAAGATCATCTCAATAAAGCTTGACATTGTGAATCATAGGTAAATGAGATACTCGACTGTCAACCATCCCCACCTCTATAGAGATATCAGTAACATACTTTATCTTACACAGGATGATGCCATGCCTTCATCAGGCCACCTCTTTAGATACTTGAGATTCCCTAGATCTTAATTTGAAATTCTTTCTAGATAAGGAACTTGACAGCTACAAGCCTTCTGCATCAATTCACTTAATAACCGACATGATCCCCTCCACAACCCTTAAAAAACAAAGAGGCCCAGATGCACCAGGGGTACCCTAAAGGATGTCATAGGTCATTCTCTTATTGTATGCATGAACATGAGGATTGGTTGTTAAGAGTATTGATGTGTTTAAAATAAAGATAAGATTTGGTAGGCATAATGTAATGACGAAAACCAATCCATGTAGTCTAAAGTGGATAGACAGTCATCTCAAGATAATATGCATGCTCCTAAAAAATGACATGGTAATGGACCACGATTGATAGCATTATCAATTTTAGATGAACCCACGTCATCCTCACAGTCAGACTGTTAACTTCAAGGTAACGCATATTTAGAGAGCACAAACATGGCATGTAAAGACCTCCCGGTCATAATTTATCTACAATCGACATCCTAAGCAAGAAATCAACATTTCTGACTATTATACTTGGATTTAGCTTTCAAAAAAATAATGTGATTGCAGAAGTCCAGAAAGAACATTATACTTCAAAAATCTGAACATTTATAACTGTTGTACTTGGCTTTAGCTTTAAAAAATTGTGGTTGCAAATATGAGGCAAAATTGTTTCAACTTTTTGAAGTATACCGTCATTTTTGGGATTTCTACAACTACTATTGTTCTTTCTAAAAGCTAAAGCCATGTACTGTGGTTCCAAATGCTAATCATTCCTGCCTAGGCACATTATACAAAGCTAATAATAAATGCAATACCGCCACCATCCCACTATGATCACCACCTCTTTTAGCATGCTACTATATAAGCTTCTCCTATACCTAGTTTTACCACACTTGAATTCGTGTGCCTAGTAGTTAATTGTGCTATTGAAATGAATATGGAAACAGCTTGAACTTACAAACAAAAATCAAACCCTACAGATTCCAGACCTAAAGTTCTTGTCTAATAGTTTATACTCGAGAAAGCTTTAGTAAACAAAAATGCCATTTCAAACTTGTATAAAACTTCCAATATACCAATAAACAATAGTTGCTGAACACAAATCAAACCATACAAGCATTAACTAAGTCAACAAATAACAAGATATCATCAGTGGTGCAAATGGTTTTTAAATTTGGGCTGAAGTCAATGAATAGGTTGATACAACATGGGAAATGATCCTGCCAGATCAAGAATCACACAAAAACGAAACAGCAGAAAGACAAATCAGAAAGGTTTCAAGATAAGTTAAAAGAAGCAAACCAGTTCTGGAAAAAACAATATTTGACTGAAAACGTCGGAACCCTTTAACGATCGGCATCAAGAACGCAGGAGGATACGCTACGACCACAGAATTTGAAACTCAACAGCATTGCACATATGAAAACATGTATAGTACACGAGTAGTTGCATCTACTCCATGGAAGAACATACTCTGCCGAGTGAAACAGACCGAAGAGAAAGGTTTAAGGTTTAAGGTTTTTGGTTTGGGACCAGTATTTTGGTTGATGTGTTTTTACGAGGAAAAGAAATTTAGGGGGTGTTAAGGGATTGTTTTTACAACTTTGTATTTTTAAAAGTGGTAATCAATTTATGTGATGTTATTAAGAAGTTTTATAAGAATGTGTTTGGATTAATTTATGGTGGTACCGAAACTTAATAAGGGGTAATAAATTGTTTGGATTACTACATGTAAAAAGTTTTTATTACCGGCATTATATCAGAATAAGTTAATAAATCAAAAGGGAGTAACTTATAAAAATTCTTTGTTACCGGTGCTAAACCGGTATAAGTATTTTTTTTTCTATTCAAACACTAAATACTCCTTATTTACCATACCAAAATAAGTTAATAAACATTTTAAATAAACAATCTCAAACAACTTCTTAATTTTGATTGTATTTTTATAAACTTATTAGAGTTAGGTACGCGGGCCAAGTTAGGGCTTAACTCCAAATAAGATTAGGAGAAAGATTGACAATATAAAAAGCAATTGTATTTTCGTAAATTATTGGTAAAAATAAATATGATTTTACATTTGTATCTTTATATTTGAACAATCAGTAAGGAAAAGGTATATATAGACATTTCATATGTGAATATTTAGATTTTTTAGTTTACCGATGATTATATATGAATCATTTCTCAAACTTTTAATTTTTTCTTATTTGAACCTTCTCATACATTAGTAATTATTAACTTTTATCATGTTTTCATGAGTTTTGTTCCACTTATTTTGGTTTGATCTCATTATTGTCTCATTCTAATGTCGTTACACACATGAAACAATAAGGGGGTGTTTGGTTCACATAATGGAATTTGGTGGAATTGAAATACATCAAAGGAATTTGACTTTGAAGAAATTTGAATGGAATTTGACCAGACGTTTGATTGGTAGGAATTGGAATGAAATCTCTCAATAAAATTGGAACAATCATTTTTGTTTGGACTATCTGTTGATCCTCTCTCTCAGTGATTTGATGATAATCCCTTTTTCCTTTCGATGTATTTCTGTGTCTGTAATTTCA